ATTTTTCCACTTTTCCCCATAATGACAATAGACATCTTCTTATACTCAGGTAGGTATAAGTTTCATTATTATTTACCAATCCATAAAGTTTCTTTATGTTACTTAGGTTCTCATACCCAACCACTGCCCAACCCTGTCTGCAGAAAAATACAACAATCTGATATTATAGACAAATTTATATATGCTGGAATGTATTAGGATAGAACCAGAGTTTAGAGACATCTGGCCTTCATTCATCTTGAATATATGTTTAAATTTATCTCTTTTGTTTCCCATGATAATTGTTCATTCTTAATATTAAATAGTGTAGCATTGTATAGCTACACGGCAAGTTTTATAATTTAGTTTATTTCATGTGTATATATGCTTGCCTACATATAGGTATGAAGAACGCATGCATGCCTGTTGCCCATGGAAGCCAAGAGAGGATATTGAATCCCTTGGCACTGGAGTTAACAGTTGAAAACTGCCATGCTGGTTTTGGGAAATGAGTCTTTGCCTGTTGCCTGTTGCTGAGGTTGTTTTCAATTTCAGTGTCTTGTATATAAAGCTGTTGTGAACTGAAATAAATAAGTCTTTAAAAGAAAATATGTCCTCTTTCTCCAGGTTATATATTTGGGTTGTGATGGCCAGATGACAATTAACATATGAAGAAACAGAAAAAGATTTTTCCAAGTTATCATCCTGTTTTCCATGGCCACCAGCAGTGGGTATTTGAGAGTCATCCTCCACAAACTTGCCAGGTCTTTGTATGACAAGTCTTTATTTCTGAGTATTTTATGGGGTTGTCTAGAGTCCCCTCAGAGTCACCTGTTGATGGAGGAAGGTCATTGGCTAATAAAGGAACTGCCTTGGCCCATTTTATTGGTTAGAAGATAGGTGGGAGGAGTAAACAGAACAGAACGCTGGGAGGAAGAGGAAGTGAGCTCAGACTCCACAGCTCTCCTCTCGGGGGCAGAAGCCTCAGAGAGACGCCATGCCCCGCTCCTGGGCAGACACACGAGATTAAGCTCCGACCTAGAATCTACCCGGTAAGACCGGTGCTCACAGATTATTAGAGATGGGTTGATCGGGATAACAGAATTAGCCAGTAAGGGCTAGGACTAAAGGGCCAAGCAGTGTTTAAATGAATACAGTTTCCGTGTAATTATTTTGGGTAAAGCTAGCCGTGGGGGCGGCCGGGTGACGGGGACGCAGCCCCGCCGCCCTTATTACTACAACCTGTCTCTCTTCCCTAAGTGTTAAGGATGTTGCTGCTGTATGTTTCTCTGAGTGGAGCATCTACTCACCCTTCTGGTCAAGTTTTATTTCCTGAATTGTCTATTTTCTTAGTGTCTCCTTTAGAAGCTTTCTGTATTCTGGATACAAGAAGACTGTCATCTGATATACAATTTCCCACATTCATTTTCCCAGGTAAGAAAAATATGTTTCTATCATATATTTGGAAGAATAGATATTTTCTCACTTTATGGAATTCGTAACACTCCAGTTCTTCATTTAATGAAAGGGGGTTTGCCATATCTAAGAAGTTTGTTTGTAATTCATGAACCTGAACATCCAATTGTATTCTGCTACAAGATTCATGTTTAGGTTGTAATTTGGACTTCTTTTAGGTTTATTTTCCCTATTTACTGAGGGTCTGCCTGTATGTCTGTGTGTGCCAAATACACGTTTGAGTGCAGATGCCCACTGAGACCAGAAGAGACTGTCAGTTCCCCTGGATCTGGAGTTACAGACATCTGTCACCCACCATATGGGTGCTGGAAACTGAAGTCAGGTCCTCTGCAATAGCAAAAGGCACTCTTAACTTTTGAGATGTCTCTCTAGTCCTGTGTAGATCATTTGTTCATTCTCGATTGACTTTTGTATCCTGCGATATACGATTGTCTATATTTATATTTGTGCATGGGGAGGTCTGCTTGTCCCAAAATAAGACAGAAAGACAGGGCATTGAAGGGGATATGAGAGGGAACACACAGCCCCTCACCCTGTAATCGTTTTTACATTTTTCTGACATTCAAGAAACCTCAAGCCAACTGATAGAGCCAAAATTACCTGCAGATATGATGCAACTATTCCTAAAGACATCCCAAATAATGTTTAAAAATAACAACAAATAAACTAGAGTCTGAAGATAGGGTTCATTCTTTAATATCACTGGATGTCTTCCAGAGGATCCAGGGTTGATACCCAACACCTACCCGATGGTTCACAACTGTCTGTAACTCCAGTTCCGAGAGATCTCATAAAGTCTGGCACCCTCTGTGGGCATTATTAGGTACTCACGTGGTGCACAGACTTCCCTGTGGAAAAGCATTCAAAAGCAGAAAATAAAAAACGCAGTTATGCTTACTTAGGGGCAGAATACTTGTAGCCTTGAGATGGATGATGATAGCACTCTATTCTCTCACCTAAGTCACATAATCACCTTACAATTTAATTTACTGAAAGAAACTTTAAAAGGAATAAGCACATTCAAAAGCATTGCTTTTTATTTTCATTTTTTACTTTTTAATAACCTATTGAATATTTTTTTCCTAATGGAAAAATAGAACCCATTTAAAGAGTAAAAATATTCTTATAGTTAATTTAAAAACCTGAATATAGGCTTTAATGTAATTTAATCTTGAAATTTTCTGAATTACATTCTTTCAGCAATGTAACTTGAGAGCCATAAAAATCCTCCCATTTCTCCCTCTCCCACTGTACCTCCCTCCCTGCCCACCTCACATACCCTTTGCAATGACACCTAATCTCAAGTCTCTCTCCAATCCACTCTCAGGCCATCATGCAGGAGCCATCCTAATTCTGTGTGAGCTTCTATCCACAGGATTAATAAGCTCACAACCTTTGCTTCATCCTGGCTGTTTCTGAAATTCTTTACTGCATCCTAGATTCATCTTTACCAGGGTCAAGGTCATCAAAGGGACAGGGTTATCCTCAGGCTGCTGGTCACTGTGCTGGGCTGTACCTCCCTACCACTTATGGGGAGTCCCAGAAAAACTCGGTGAAGCACAAATGTCTGCTTCACTTAAGTGTCTTTGAGTCTTTGCTAAAGGTGTCCCCTCACACATGTGTGACTCTTCTGTCCCCTTCATATTCTTTTCTGTCTTATTGTCTTTTCCAATCAGGCACGCTGTCTACATTTCTCTAGGTTTATAAGGAGTTTGGAAGTCAGGTGTTCATCCTCCAAGTTTGTCCCTTTATAAGGTTGTTTCAAGCTGGGGTTCTCCATATTCACTGTGAATTTCAGGATAAGCCCATTAGTTTATGAAAAGTCTGTTAGAGTTCTGTTGGTATTGCACTGGATCTATAGGACTGTATGAGGAGAACAGACACCTGTATCTTCCATTGCATGAAGATGATTGTAGCGTGAGTTCTAATTGGTCTTAATAATAAAATCTGGAGTCAGATATTAAGTAGTTGGAGCTATAAGATCAGAACAGCAGAGCAGCCAGACACTAGTTCTTTCCTCGACAAAATCCTCAGACCAAATGGAGCATCCTGTCTCTACAAGACCTCAGACTGACTGCCTGGATCTCCTATCTCCTCCCACCTTATATTCCTCTCTTTTCCCAGCCACATTCCTTTCATTCTCCATCTCCCTCGTGCTGGGATTAAAGGTGTGTGACACCAAAGCACTTTGATGAAAGATGTGAGTCACCACTGCCTGACTCTGTTTCTCTTTTAGACTGGATCAATCTAATGTAGCCCAGGATGGCCTTGAACTCACAGAGTTCTGTTTCTTAAGTGTTGGGAAAGGTGAGTTCCAACACTGCCTGTCTTCTGTGGCTAACTAGTGGCTATCTGCACACACTGATTCTCAGGCAAGCTTTATTGTCATGGAAGAAACAAAATATCGCCACAGTCGATGAATCTATACATCTTTACTCTCAGCAATGAGTTGTCCCATTCAGTGTCTAGGCACTACAGAGAAGTGGGCAGAGTTTTCCTAATTATTTCATATTTCCTGATGCTATCTCCAGTGACAGGGATTTTAAATTACAGCTTCCACACATTCATTTCACTGTGGTCAGCTGTCTGTGTTAAATTTAGACAGAGTTATTGATGAATCTTTTAGGTTAAAATATTTAATTACATTCTCTATGATGAAAATGTCTTTGATGCTAACATATATTTGCTGTGTTTAAAATTCAGTACTTTTAAGTTGCAAGTGAATTAGGAGAACAGAAACAAATGTCCAACACCCAGTTTGGGGGAAAATTTCTAAGGCAGCCACAGGTCAAAGGTTTGCCCCAATGGCATCTTTGGAATCATAGAGATAGTCCTTTACCTCCCAGCTAGCTCCATCAGGGAGGTGCTGAGATCACGGTGGAGAGAAAGAAGGGGATACATGTGAAGAGTTAGGTATGTATGTGTAACTCCAGAAAGGTTTGTATTATGAAGAATACTTAGGTAATTATTTTCAAAATATCTAATATTATTTTCCCCAACACAAAAAGGAAAAGGTTAGTACTCGTGTGTTTTCCCTCTTGTTTTCCCATCCAGTCATGCAGATTTTAGCAGTGTTGCTGTGGACTTGTACAGAGGGGGTGTTTTATGTATGGTTCTTTCCATGTTTATTATAACCATGACGCCTGCTAAGTGTTGCTCTGATGCCTACTTCCCTGTGCAGTTGCTAGTATACAAGAATTGCTTGTCTTTGAGTAATGTTTCTCTTTTATCTTTTGTTTATTAATGGATTTACTCATGCGTTTGTGTCTACTCAGAAACACCCATTTCTTAAAGGAGTACTCCTTTGTCATCATTATATACTGTGATGCTTAAATTATCCCATAACATGCCCGTGGGAGTACATTCAAGTGGACCTGCTCTTCATTTGTTATCTGTCTAGAATTCTGGATTATCTGACCACCCCTGGGAAGAAAGCCAAAAGCAAATGCCTCTTGTCAGTGATACTTTGTGTCCTCTGCCTATCAATGTCAGGTCTCTTCTATGAGAAGAACAGCAGGACTGCAGAGAGAACACGCAGAATGTTGACAAGAAGCTGACATGAGCCCTTGTTTCCAGTATGTGAGTCATCATTGCCACCAATGTGAGTGTGTGTGTGTGTGTGTGTGTGTGTGTGTGTGTGTGTGTGTGTGTGTGATGTGTACATGGCTGTGTATAAAGGGTCTGTGAAATGAACAAAGAAGAGGAAGATGTCACTGCACATCTTTGACTTGACTGGATGCAGACAGACTACTCCATCCTTATATTCAGTACAGTAGAGTGACAAGATCATGTGGGACTCACCAGGTGAGTCATTTCCTTTTCTCTTCCCATCTGTGTGACCAGCAGCTGGTCTGTGATGCCTTGTAGGAACACATCCTGTTGAGCAGGTAGCAGCAAAGAGCAGCACACTGTAAAACAATGGCATTCATAGACTCCCCAGATGACTGAACCCTGTAGGGGTCCCTTTAAATGACCAGGACTGAAATGGAAGCAATCCCCATCAGACCATTTCCCCGAATGGGCCATGCATGACTGCATCACATTTGGAGGGATTGCTTATTAAGATGGTAGAAATCTGGATCCACAACAGACACTGAATCATGCTTATTAAAATGGTAGATATCTGGGTCCACAGCAGACACTGAATCAATACCTGTGATGTGGGGGGTGGCATAGCCACTTCTTTCTGATGGCTGTCCATGTTAAAACGTATTGCTAGTGTGTTTGATATTCTGTCTTCCAGGATATGAAGTCACAGACTGCTTAAGTCCATACCATGTTCTCTTGTTACTGCCTTAAATACCACTGTGTTGCATGGCATATCAAATAGACAAATCAATTCCTTCGTGTACGTTTATCCAGATATTCACATAGTGGCCTCTTTAGTGAACACCTTGTTCCTGCACTGTGAAGACTAGCACGGGTCCTTGTATATCGTGTTAGATAGGCAAACTGTCAGTAAGCAGAAGAAATCAGTAATCACAGCAATTCCGTGTATTATTGGCGCTTTAAAGATCATAAAGGGGACAGGAAATAGTTGTGATGGGGATTGTCGTATGTGATGTTACCCCCAAAGGTTTCAGAAGTTAGCATGTGATCTGAGTCCTGAATGGCAAATAGAAGCAAGACCGTGCACAAACCAAGTTGTGGGCGTGCTTGCTTCCATGGAGAACAGTGGATCTAAGAGCAGAGAACAAGGCTAGTTGCCAGAACCTTGAAGACAACGTGGACACTGCTTGGGGATAGGACAGAAAGGAAAATGTTGTCATTGTCAGCTGTGTATGACATTTGGATTATATGATCTGTGTGGAAGGTGAGTTATGGAATTGTCATGATATGTTTCCTTTTGGTAGAAGGTGACTTGGCACTGAACAGAGAAAGGCCTGGGGAGGGCGGAATGAGGGAGTGTGTGGAGACAGTGGAGATGGTTCCGAAGACAGGGGAGGGATGGAGGTATGAAAGAGGGATGAAGCCATGCTGCAGTGATCAGCAGGAGAGCTGCCCTGTGCAGCCTTGTCTGGGAGAGGGCAGATAGCACCTGGATGCGCTGTGCATTTTCCTTGTGGAGACATTGCTCTAACATCTCTGGATTTGTCTGACCACATGGAGACACGGTGCTTCCATTTACTGACATCAGTTATTCCACCTGTATTGACACAGGATAGTTTGAATACCCAATATAGTCATTGTAAAACTTAACAATTTGATAACGAGTTGCTGATGAATAATTTTCAGATGTAAAGTTTTCTAAGTATAGCTAACTGTAGCATAATTTCCAACAGAATAAGAATCTAACATTTGTCTCTTAAAAAATGAACCCAAAATTCAGTGTATTTTTGAAAATGGCTGTTCTACAGCATGTACTGCTCTTGGCAGGTTTACAGATGAAGGAAGTGAGTAGGTTTTAGGCAGAGTTGAAGTGAAATCAGTCTCTAAATTCTGCAGCAACTGTTTGTCCCTATTTCACCAGAAGAAGACTGCCTTTAGAAATGCTTATTTTTGACAGCTGGGCATGGAGCAAACATTCACAAGACAGAGGCAGTTGGATGTCTGAGTTCAAGGCCAGCCTGTAATTCCAATTGCATATATCAACATTAGTCTGTCACATATGCAGGAACTTGTGACTGGTATTTAAAGCAGGTATTATCACTAAAGACCCCCAACTTAGCACATGAGCAGTGTCTGCAGAGGGTCTCACTCTGTTTTCTCCTCACAGAAATTCCCAGCCTTTGTTTGGAAAATGGGTCCAGGACATCCTGGCTCAGGGAACCAAAGTTGCTGGGGCTAGGAAGTTCCCACATCTCTCTGACTCTAGAAAAGTGGTTCAACCAGTGACTTGACCCCTTCAGCAAACGTCTATCTCCAAAACTATTTCCATTGTGATTCTTACCTGTAACAACTTTACAGCGATGATGAAGCAACAGAAATAATTTTCTGGTTGGGATCACCACGCATGAGGGACTGTATTAAGAGTCACGTCACAGCATAGGAAGGCTGAGAACCATTGCTGTACAGACATCCAAACGCAGAATCCGGCTTCTCAGATATCTCTGGGATCCCTTCATCATTGTCCCCATACTCCTAGGGAGGCACAGCCCCACATCAGGACACATACACTCACATCTCCGTGCAAGGGAAATCCTGTTCTTCTTTCTCCGTCATTTCTATTTCCACACACTATGCTATATTTCCAAATTTTCTTTTTTTATGTCTTCAGCACTGAGCTTAAGGATGTGTCTGATTCTTTGACCAACCTTTTTCCTGTTTTGTGATTCTTCTGCAGGGTCTGGGTCATTGGCTGTGCACACACATCCACAGACAGTACAACAACAGCCTCTAGTCCCTTGTTGCTGACCTTTGGGAAGCTGGGCATGTAAGGTAGGTTTGCTGGCAGGAGACTTTCTCTCAGGAACAGGATGTCCTTGTCAGAGGCTGGACTCGAGGATGCTACAGCACTTAGATCTGCCCAGCATCTGACGGCCCGGTCCCAAGCTCTTCACAAATGTGGTGGGAGCACATTTGGGGATTTTTAAAAGTGGTCCCTAGACACTGCTATTGCTCCCCTGGCTGTGCACACATTCCCAGCTATATTCTTGATTTCTCTGGTAGCTGTTCAATGAGAATGCTATACCATGAAAAGAAATCACTGGTGAATTTAAAAAGCCACAGTATGGGGACTGGCGACATAGCTCTCGTGGCAGAATGATTGCCTAGAATGGAAATTGCTCTGTGTTCTTTGACCCTCTGGGCATGTTCACCCTCACCTGTAATACCAGCACTCAAGGCGTAGAGGGAGGAGGAAAGAGACAAGAGAGTCATTACTGTTTATGAGAGTATGGCTCCCTGCCCCCATGGCAGATAGCTCACAACTGCCTTTAACTCTAGCCCCATCAGGAGTCAATGCCTCTGCCAATCATGTGCATACCACAGACAGACAGACAGACATAATTAAAAGTATAACTAAAATCTAAACAAGAAAAAAAAAAGAAGCATCAACTCCAGGTCATTGACCAAGGGGAAAACACAGTGGAATTTAAAATATGAACATTATAAAGGCTAACGGAATCTAACAGTCTACAGTCTGGCAGGGGAGATGACTCAGTGGTTCAGAGTGCATTCTATTGTTGCTGAGGATCCAAGGTAGTTTCCAGCATCCATTTCCAACATCCTTGAAGGACCATACCTCAGCTCCAGGAAGGTATGACCTCTCCTGACCTTTGGAGGCATAGGAATTCATGTGTACATACACATAGGAATATACACAACGTAATTATTATTAAGTTATGTACATTTTAAAATTATGTACAAATTAAAATAATTGTTATGAAACAATGAAGAAAAATGGTCAAATGCCAGGCAATAATGAGAACAGTTTTCATCAGCGTTAGGTGGCAAATGCGTGCACTTCCAGCTATTTGAACACTGGGGTTACACGATCATTACTGCTAAGAAGTTTCAGAACAGCCTTAATAGCACAGTGAGGCCCTTCCTCAAAATGATAACCAAACAAAAACCAGAAATATCTCAGAAAATGTGAAATTTCTTAGATAAACAATCTTAGAGTACATGGTTTTTCAAGAGATGTGGATCATTATAAAATAAATTTTTGCAGGGAAATCAATGATAAAATTATTTATTTCGTGGGAATTCAACAATATACATGTAGAAATGGAATGAAAATGTTACTGGGCCGAGAAGAAAACAGTAGCATTAAGAATGTGTTTACATTAAAATGAATACTTGAGCTGGGGCAGTGTGGTAAGCTGGGAGGACCAGCAGCACTCTGAAGGCTGAGGGAGGAAGGGGAAGAGTCCCAGGCTGGGCTGGGCTGCTCTGAGACTCTGCACTAAACACACAAAATAGTTAGCAGGACTATTATCATTCCATTCACTGTGGGAAAGTTTCAGCTTAGTTCTGTCATGGGAAACCATCCTCTTTTCACTGGATGTTAGGCAGAGCCCTGTGTGTCCCTGGCAGACACATTAAAGATTACCATCCCCTAAATGGGGAAGTGACTTCCTCACCAACACATACAGCAAGGCGCACAGAAAATGGCGGCTGGGACTCTACTCAGATAGCTCACTCTCTGGAGATTTCCCTGCAGACAGCCCTGTGCCTTAGGGTTAGGAATAAGCCCAGCGACAGACACAGATTTCCTTATGGTAGTACATGTGCTTTCCTGTGGTGTTTGAAATTTCGTATCCAGGAAGGAAAGTACTTTAAAGTGTAAACTGAGAAAATTGCTTGTGCTCGGGTGGTAAAAGTGGGGCTGGGGAGACAGCTAAATCAATAAATGGCTGGCCTTGTGGGCATGAGGCCCTGAGTGTCATTCACAGAGAGCATCATCAAGAAAATGAAGTTAAACTACAGCAGGAAAAGTAGTAGGTGTGGTGGGACATGCTTGTGTGTGAAGGTGGAGGCAAGCCTATCCCTGGAGTGTGCTGCCCAGCCAACCCAGCCTGCCTTGCGTGTTCCAGGCCAGTGAGAAACCTTGTCTAAGAAAAACTTCAGGGGGATGGCGCCTGAGGTACAACACCGGAGGCTGCCTTCTGTCCCCTGACCACATGCATGTATGCATACAATTGCAGAAGCACACACATATGCACACGGGCACACAACCACACACTGGATAAACGATGTTTATACCTTCTGTACTTTAGAAGTAGTCATTGTGTTCCGTTTCTGGGCAATGAAGTAGAAGGACAAATGGAATCTACTCTCATGCTCTGTGCATGCCTGTGTGCATATGTGTGTGTGTGTTTGCACACAGAGCTCCACCATCTCTATCTAATGAGGCTGCTTTATGTTAGCCTTAGACTGGGATTGGTCTCCAATCTTGGGTTTACATTTGATATACCTAAGATGTCAAGGTTTATGTACCAGGAAAATATACTGAAGTGAAAAAACACTGCTTTATCTCCAGAGGTAAGGTCCCTTCAAGTCCAGGTCACAGCCAATGTTCCCTCCCACCCAAACATAGACGCCACTGGGCCCAAGACTCTCACTGATGTAGTCCCCATTATGGCCAGGAGGTGGCATTCAAACTACATGCCTACATTTATTTTCTTTAAAGGGGCTGATGTTTTATGGAATAGCAATGCGTTTTCAGTGTGTTTGGAAACTTGATACAATACTAGAGCAGTTCCATTTATGGATTGCAGCAACTGTAGTGCTCCACAACTCACTTCATCCTCCCTGAGTGTAAAGTGGGCAGTGCACACGGGATACAGAGTGGTGCTCTGTAGAGAATATGAATGTGGTGGTCACCTTGAATCCCCTGACACTGGAATGGATGGATTTCCTAGACTTTCCATCTCCTCTCCAGGAGGCTGTGGTACAGTCCCCAGATCGCTGCCTCCCAGGCAAGTTGTATCCTGGTCAGTCACTGCAATTGTGTTGCACCATGCCTGCTGGGGACTTCCAAGAGCAACCTGGTGTTTGTGGTGTGGTTGCCATGTACTTTTCCATGAATATGGTCTGCATATGGTTTAGATGTAATATGTATTCACCGTTACGATTTAGACCAAGCTTGGGGTCCCTTCTCTGTTGCACGAAGGTTTCCAAAGTATTTCCTTTACCTCACCCTCATTTTGGAGCCACTAACTAGATACTGAAAGAGAAATTATCCCCTGAGCCCTACAAGAAGAGATAACACAGAAGAAAAGAGGCAGGAACCCCAAGTCCCTTGACAGCCACAGGACATTGACTGAGCTACTGTTCTATTGCTGGGAAGAGGCGCTGTACTGAAGAGAATTTACAGAACAAAGCATTAAATGGGGAGCTTACTTTCAGTGTCAGAGGGTTAGTCCAGTACCATCACTGTGGGCAGCATGGCAGCAGGCAGCCTGGCAGGGCACTGTAGCAGAAACTGAGAGTTTACATCCTGATCACAGGCAGGAGGCAGAGGGCTTTTGAGTCATCAGAACTCACACCCAGTGACAAACCTCGTCCAATAGGGCCACACATCCTAATCTTTCTTAAACCATCCACCATTGGGATTGAAACATTCACCAAAAGAGGCGTATGGAGATCATCCTCATTCAAACTACCACCGTCCTATAAGGGATTTCCTCTGCCCCATCAAGCTGCAGAGGGAGAATTGTGGTTGGCTGAGTACTCATAAGTGCATAGACTAGAATCGGTTCCAAGATGTCAGTCATTAATAGAAGAGACTACTGTGTGACATTTGGGGAGAGCAGGAGGCCATTCAAGTTACTTGTCTGAAATAATGTGCTCTTCAGAAGACAGTAGTCCCCTTTTGGTTCTCTTCATGGATACTGAAACTGTATACTGAAACTGTAAAGGCCTTGAGCACACAGGAATTATACAAGATTTAGTGAACGTACACACACACACAAACATACATACACACACACACTTTCTTCAGCCATGTCGTCAATTTATTTCTGTGAATTAGTAGTTTATGGTGGGCCAGGCATCATCATTCTAACCCCACATCTACATGTCTCACACAATTCCTTTTTCCCTTCTTTGATCTGCTCAAGTGGATTCCCATGGAAACCATTCAAAGAGACTGCCTTAAACTGTCTGGTCCACAAAGAAAAACAAATGCTGCCTTGGAAACCAAGGAAAATTTGGCCCATCCTTCCCATAGTGATAGCTATAAGGCCCCACCCTGCTCCTGGCTATATCTCCCTTACAGAGGGGAGGGAGGATAAACCTTGTGTGGTGTCTGTCTTGGAAGTTATCCTGGGTGCGGAATAGATTTTTTTCTGATTCTGCTTTCCATGTGATAGTGCAGTTAACATGTCTCCATACTTAACCAAGTATGGATGATCTATAAGAAAGCAATTTGTTTAAGGAGGACATTGAGGTTACACCAAGCACGTGACTTCCCTTTCCCACATTGTGGAACTAGAACCAGAGCTACAGGACACAGAGAGGAAGAGGAACCACGTCTTCAAAGACAAAGACAGGCAGAGGGTCTAGTCTGAGCATGTAACTCTCCTGATTTCAGGAAATGCTCACCACAGGTTTCTCACATAGCAGTCACCTCCTCTCAGCTCTCCCCGTGGGTAGTCTGAGAGCAAAAAGACACTCTTCTCCATTGCTGGAGAGAATGCAACTGTTCTCCAAGCCTATGGATGGATCTTATGCTAGTGAAAACCTCAAGCGTGCATTCTGGGGACCAGGGATCTTTCTTCTAAGGATCCATCCCAAAGAACACAGAAGGGGACACAAAGACTGTCAGAGCAACACTGTAGAACTCCAAGAGGAGAACTATGAAAATCGTCTGTGGGAAGGAAAGAGGGACAGCATGATCTCAGGTGTATCTAGGACTGCTTTCCTCTGCTTCCTGACAGTTTACCCATATAACACAATACTCCAAGATCCGTGGTAATCTCAGTGCAGAAACA